AGTCATATACAAATGGTAAATTGTAGTAAATTCTCTGAAAGAACAAGCAGGGGACTGAAGTAGAGAATGGGGGAAGGCAAAGAGAGAGGAATTCACCTTAGATCAGATGTTCAGGGAAGGCCTAATTGAGGTGAAATTTAAGTTTTGTTCTAAAGGATGAGAAATGGGTGAGAAGAAAGTGTTTTAGGCAGAGGGAAGAACTGATGCAAAGGCCCTGAGGCAAGAAAGCGCTCAGCATGTTCCAAGCATGGGAAGAAGGCCAGTGGGGTTAGAATACAGTGAACAAGGGGGAAAGACTGGACATGAGGTTGGAGAAATGGGCAGTGATCAGGTTGTACAGTGGACTTTGTCCGCTGGGGTTTGTTTAGATATTTCTTATGAGAGGCAGGAAGCCTTTTGAAGGGTTCAAATCAGGGAGCTGATCTGATCAGATTTACATTTTAAGACGATACCCTTGGCAACTATGGGAGGAATGTATTGAAGGGACATAAAAGTGGAAGGACCCAGATAAGGCTGTTGCCACAGTAAAGGTTGAGGTCTTGACTGATGCATGGCAATGTAGAGAACTGCACAGAAACCCACAGCTTTTAGCTCTGTTTGGACCTAGGATCAACAGCACTGCTGATGGATTGGATGTGGAAGGCGAGGGAAAGAGAAGGATCAAAGGTATCCTGTAGGTCATCCATTTGAGCAACTGGATGGACAGTGGAGCATTTATGCTGCCCCAGGGAGAAGTGAGGGGATTGGGAAGGGGTATGGACTTCCATCTTACACATATTAAATTTGAGAGACCTGTGAGACATCCAGGTGGAAAGCCAGCATTCATAGGAGAGCTCTGCACTGGAGATGTAGATTCTGGAGTTACTGGCATAAATATCTGAACCCATGGGAACAGATGAAGTAACTCCTAGGAAGAGCATGTAGAGAGAAAAGGGAAAAGGGTCTAGGTTGAATCTTGAGAGGCATTCCAGCACTTAGAAGCTGATAAGGCAGAGAACTCTCTACCCCCTGATTCCTGTGACTATCCCCCACCTCCATCTTGACTGACCCTAGGAGAAACCTCCAAGGGGAGCCTCTTTGTTTTACTGTTTGGTTACAAACTTCTCTAGACCTTCCAGTGCATACATACATACATACATACATACATACATACATTTTTGGGGAAGAATTTATTCATAAAATAGTGTGGTCCTCCTCTTAGGAATATTTATAGTTTTAGAGATTTGCCTGAAAAATGGAATTTTAGGTACTTACTTGGTGCCTGATAGATTTTGGGCAGGGATGTTATTTCTTGAGCTGGGTAGGCAGCAATTCACTAGTAAGCCCTGCTGATAGAGCTGGGAATATGAGGGACTGTACCCTGTCTCCCAGGAGAAGGGGCAGTACCTTGTGTTAGTTCCCTGAAGATAAAGTAACTGAGGGTTCTTGCCCTTATGCTGCCCACCACCCCCAGGTCTGTGATGATGAGTGGCACCACTATGCTTTGAACCTGGAGTTCCCCACAGTCACACTTTATGCCGATGGCATCTCGTTTGACCCTGCCCTCATCCATGACAATGGTCTCATCCACCCACCCCGAAGGGAACCTGCTCTCATGATTGGGGCCTGCTGGACTGGTAAGTCCCCTGAGCTTCTCAGTGAAGACACTGAAGGTTGGAACCTCTAGTGGCTTAGGATTATTGGTGAAGGAGAAAGGGCAGCTTGACTTCATGCATCACCCTGCAGTTGGGCGGGATGACTCAGAGAGATCTCCAGTGGAGGAGACCACAAAACCCCCAGAACCCCCTCCCCGCCATTTGCAACCTATTCAACCAGTCATCACCTCAGGCAGCACCGGAATCTCTCTTTGTATAACTCTGGCCAGTGCCCACATTGTTCCACCAAAGGGATGATTTCCACAGTACATTCCCTTGCTGGAGGTCAGTAATATTTTAGAGAGTCATCAGTTTTCCTTAAGCTACTTCTTTCATTTTTTTTCCTTCTGGGAGCATGTGTGCACTTGTGTGCCTGTGTGTGTGTGTGTGTGTCTTACCCATTGAGGGCTATCTACAAAAGCTTTTGTTTTCTGTTGCACTCTTTAAAAGAGACAGTCTGCCATTTGCTGCTGCTTGATCTTTCCCCCCTTGTTGCGAATATTAGTAACATGACTCTGCTTTTCTTTTCCCTTATTTATTCAACAAATATTTGTTAAATACCAGGCAAGGCTCTGCCATTCTGCTTAGTTCTGAGGATACAATGAAGTATAAGATGGAACAAAATCTTTGCCTTCTTTGAGCTTACATTTTAGTCGGAGAGGTAGATTTTTAAAAACTAAGCAGTCATATACAAATGGTAAATTGTAGTAAATTCTCTGAAAGAACAAGCAGGGGACTGAAGTAGAGAATGGGGGAAGGCAAAGAGTGTTTGTGTTTTCTCAGCAACATAATTGGGGGTTGGTCTCTAGCAGAGGCCAGAGAGATTGAGATGTGACATCGGTGAACAGGTTGCCAGTCCTACCCAGGTTGGGACAGAGCAGGGAAGACCTCTTCTTCCTTGCTGCCAATCTGTCCCCACAACCCTAAACTCATTGCCACTTTTTTTTTTCCTCCAGAGGAAAAGAACAAAGAGAAGGAAAAGGGAGGAGACAACAGTACAGACACCACACAAGGTACTCTGTGCATAAGAACTGGAGACCAGAGAGCTCTCACCTTAGCTTTCTGTGCTGTGCTCCTGATTCCATCCCAACCCCAAATCCCAGCCAGCCTCGTAGTAACTGCTGCCCATGCCACCAGGGGCAGAGCCTCCATGAACTACTGCAAGGCAGGGCTCCCTTGGAGAGGTAAGGCCAGATGGAGCTTGGTGGCATCCTGGGTGTCCCTTCCTGCCCACAGAAGGAAGTGGAGGAGTTCTCTTGCTGGCTTTCCACGTAGTGGATCAGATTGTGGGAGGCAGGCGGCGGTCCCACACAGGGAGATCTGGGCATCTGCGAAGCTCCGCACGTCCCCCTGGGTCCCCTTGCATGACCTGTGACCACGCCCTCTCGCCTTCTTTTCCTCCACTGGCTCCTCTTTCCTCCCTTTGGTCCCACTCCTGTCCTTCCTCCCTCTCCTGGGAGCTTTTCTCATTTCTGTTGCTTTTGGTTTTCACCCTTCTCCTCTCCTTGGATTTATTCCCTCTTTGGTCTTCCTTTCTGCTTTCTCCAGTCTCCCCCAGCCTCATTTCCTGGTCTCTTCTTTCTTTTTCATTTCCACATTTCTCCTTCTCATGCTCTTTCTCCAGCCTTCTGCCCCTCCTCTGTGCCCCTTTTCCTGCTCCAGCCGCCTCTCCCTTCACCCACTCTCACCTCCCATTCGCCCCTGTGTTCCTGCCCTAGGAGACCCCTTGCCGATCCACCACTACTTCCACGGCTACCTGGCTGGTTTCAGCGTGCGCTCAGGCCGCCTGGAGAGCCGCGAGGTCATCGAGTGCCTCTATGCATGCCGGGAGGGGCTGGACTATAGGGATTTCGAGAGCCTGGGCAAAGGCATGAAGGTATAGCCCCTTCCTCTAGCCCTGTCCTTCCGGGCATGCCCCCTGCCCCAGAACCCTGCCCACCTCTCCTCCTCTGCTCCCTTCCTCTCCTGCCTCCCGGTCCTGCTCTCAGCTGTCTGTGTCTGGGGCCCAGGTCCACGTGAACCCCTCGCAGTCCCTGCTCACCCTGGAGGGGGATGATGTGGAGACCTTCAACCATGCCCTGCAGCATGTGGCTTACATGAACACTCTGCGCTTTGCCACGCCTGGCGTCAGGCCCCTGCGCCTCACCACTGCAGTCAAGTGAGTGTTGGGTGGGGCGGTCAAATCACAGAGCAGAGCCAGACGGTGTCAGAACTCCTTGGCTTTAGAGGTCACCCAGGGCTAGGCACACCTCCCTCACTGTATGGATGGGGAGATTGGGCCCCCAGAGACAAACTGACCTACCTGCTCAGTTGACATAGCAATGTTTGTAGAAGAGCCTGGACTAGACTCAAGGGTTAAACAACGGATTCATTACTCTTTCTGCCAACCACCCTTCCAGGACTTTGGGGTTTTAATTTTCTCTGTGCCTCTATGCTGATATGTAAAGTGGGACGGACAGGGTACTGGATTGGGAGCTGGGAGATCTGACATTAATTCTGACTCAATACTAATTGCCTAGATGACCTTGAGCAAATAGCTCTAGTTGTTTCACCTGTTTTAGTCTTGATTCATCAAGTTCTTACAAAGTCAAATAAGATGATCTAAATCTGGGGGTTGGCAACCAATGGCCCTGGGGCCAAATCTGGCCTGCTGCCTGTTTTTGTAAATAAAGTTTTATTAGAACACAGCCATTCCCATTCATTTGCATATTACTTCACACTATGATGGCAGAGCTGAGTAGTTGGGACACAGTCTGTACGGCCCAAAAAGCCAAAAATATTTACTGTCTGACCCTTCACAGAAAGTTTGCTAACCTTTGAATTCTAAGCAAATAATTTTAATTCTTTAAAAGAAAAAATGTACATTATTTCAAGGTTTAAGTATATTAGGTGTTTAAAAATACAGATTAATTGAGAGGTAACGAAATCATAATAGTTATGGACAAAGAGTGTATTACCGACTAGCTTTTCACATTGAGCAAATGCTGTAAAGCAGGGATAACAATAGAATCTAACTCACAGAATTGTTATGAGAGCTAAATGATACAATCCAGATCAAAAGCTTAGCAGAATGCCTGTTGCACCAATGTTGGCTCTTACAGGCAGGCATTTTCACCCCTAGTGTTTGTGGGGCAGTTTTTAGGAGATACTGCCATCTAGTGGGTGGATTACACAATGTAGGAGTCAGGATTCCTGAACAAGCATACCCCTGCTCTGCCTCAGTTTCTCCATAAGCGATATGAAGATAAACATCTTTGGCTTGTCCCTCTCCTGGGAATGGTGGGTTTAGAGACGGGGGAGGAGAGAGCTCTGAGCCCTACAGAGTGACTGGGCATGATTATCAGATCTCACAATTAGAGCTCTGGAAGGCCAGGCAGCCGATTTTGGGAATCATGCTTCTAGCCTGTGGTGTGGTCACAGTATAGAGCTGAAGGCCACAGGTAGCTGGGGTCACGTGGGCACAGACCAGAGCTGAGCATGCCCCCCGCCTCCATGTTCTAGCTGGAACTCTAGTTGTTGAAGGGCAGTCATGCAGTTATATAGGGTTTAACTCACCAGAGACCAAGCAATTGCCTCATGCCCTTCACGTGACTCAGGAGCCATGTCAGAAGGGACAGCACTGTCTTTTGGCTTAGGATGGAACTCTGCAAGGAGGAGTTGACATCCTCTGTGTTGATGGATTCATCTGAATTCCTCCTACCTCTTTCAGGCCCGGGGGAGAGGCTTATCCAAGGGCTGGCAACCTGACTTTGGTCTTTTAGTAGGGGGCAGGGTCTTGTTGTTTTCCGTATGAGGTCAAGAAAGAGAGCTCTCATTTTTCCATTTATGGGGCTACCATGGGGTTAGTGCTAACCTAATACATCCTTGAGGTCATTGGAGAAAATAGAGAGCTGTGTGTGTGTGTGTGTGTGCGCGCGCGCATGTGCAACTGTGAAAGAGAGAGAGGCAGGTACCTAACAGTACCTCCCGATCTCTGATACATAGCCTTGCCCTAGTCCATGTGGCTTCCCAACGTTCCCAAGTTCAGTTCTTGGAGCTCTGTCCATTTAGAGCCAGATTTATGCAAGTATTTTGTCAATGCAGATTTTCCCTAAGGTTTTTTCCCTCTCTTTTTTTTGGAAAGCCCACCTAGTTTGTGGCATTAACCTCTGAATAAATGGCTACCACATCTTTTTGTCTAACTTTGTCCTTTTCCCTTAGCCCTTGACTCTACCTATACCTTGCTATAACCTCTATCTAGAAGTTCTGCCAGCACCTCAAACAGATGAGCTGAAGATGAAATGATGACCTTTGATACCCAAACTAGCCCCTCCCCCTGAAGTCTATTTTTGTGATGGTGTCTCTGCCCTTGCAATCACTCAAGCTTGAGACCTCTGAGTCATCTCAGATTTCTCCCTGTCTGTTCTCCATGCCCCATCAGTTGCCAGGTCACCCTGATCCTGCCTGTGCTGGGTGTCGGGGAATCTGTCTCCTTTTTTCCCATTTCTGCTGTTAGGACTCCAGCCCTGGCTCTGATTATCTCTCTCACCTGGCCTATTGCCATAACCTCCTAATGAGTTGACCCATCTCTAGTATTCTAACTTCAGTTCACCCTTCACCAGAGGCTATGTTAGTAGTGGTCATAAATCAGAATTTTCATCCTCATATTTCCCTGATGTAGAAGATATCAATGGCCTCCTCTTGGCTAGTGCTCAAAAACTGCACTCAAAGCCCTCAACCATCTGACCCCAGCTTTCCTGCCTCATGTTCTCTATTCCCCTTGGTACACTCCTCACCATCCAGTCAAGGCTCTACCTTCTGCCTGGTGAAGTCCTACCCTCCCTCAAAGGCAGCTAAGTGACTGCTTCTTTTGACTATTTCTGTCCTCCCTTGCCAAATGCCCCAGTCCCATCCTAGCCAGAAATAACCTCTCCCTCTCTAAACTCTCAGGGGTTTTGGTTCGTTCCGCTTACATGATGGTGACTACGTTTGCCATTGTTTTGAGGTTGTGTGTCATATCTAAGCTCTTGACCAGATCATCAGTGCCTTCGGGTCAGGGCCGGCCCCCTGTTGCCCCTTGGGTCTCCTTTGGACTGCTCACTGCAGTGGGGATGTCTGTTGGAGCCTGTGTTTTCAGGGTCAGCTGACGTTGGTTTCCAAGAGGCTTTGACCTGGGCCCCTTGGAATGACCGTGCAGATTCTTAAGCCCCACAGGTTGTGGACATTGGTAACGTCAGGGGCTCTGAGTTCATCGTATCTGCTGAGGTTACCCCTTCCCCTTTCTGCTCCCATGGTCAAGCCGGGCACACTCAGTAATACGCCCTCAGTTAGCACAAGCATATGGACCATAGGCCCTGCTTCTGAGTTACCAACTCCCTTGTGAAGGCTGCTTGTTCAAGGGGTACTTCTTTATAAATAAATTTGACTGGTGCAAACCCAGGCCCCAAATAGTGGCCGTGGTTCAGTGGAAAGAGTGTGACCTTGGAATAAGAAGAGTAGGTTTAAGCCTTGACTTCGGACACATAGTTCTTGTGTGACCAAGATGCTTGATCATCTTTGGTTTCTTATCCTGAGTCCACAGTGCTGAAATAAGGTTGAATGAAATAATATGCACAAATGCTTCAGAAACTAGCAAGTGTGATGAGAAGGTGAGGTGCCATTCTTATTGATTGGCAAAGCATGGGGCTGGAGGTGACTCTGGGAACATCTTCCTGAGCAGCTGTGCTGTGGGTTGATTGGCCTGGCTGAGTGCTTTAGGGAGTCTCTCCTGGTGCCAGGGTCAGTGAGGCTTCATGGGACCATGGAAGCAGGTCTAAGATTGTCACATTAGCTTACCTACCAAAGTAGGTTTCTCTGATATTGAAGGGAATGAATGGAAGACACACCAAGGAGGAGGACATCCTTGGATAGGCTCCCCCACCATATCCCTGCCCTCCACTTTTGCTGTTGAGTATTTTTGGACATGTATCTTCTAGATATTTTACTGAGCATGTTTTAATTTAAATCCCCTGAGTAAAGAACTGTGTATGTGTAAACATTTTTGTAGGTTCAGTTTGTAGAATGAAGTTTGATAGATGTTCCATAATCTTGGATTAGGGCATTGATGATGTTCTCTTCCCTGCAGGTCAGGATCGCCTGATCTGTCCCTGACCCTTTCCCGAAGTGGCATCCTCCCAGGAAAGGCTATCTCCCCTCCAGCTTTGCTACGAAGGGGTAGTGGTGCTGCGGCAGAGAAACTATCCCTCTCTCTTCCCCTCCCTCTCCCTGACATGGGGTGCTTTGTTGTAGAGATGGAGGCCCGGAGGGGTGAAACAGAGTATGGATCATAGGGGAGGAGATGTTAGGGTCACAAGTTGCCTCCCTCCCCTCTTGTCGTATAGGTGCTTCAGCGAAGAATCCTGTGTCTCCATCCCCGAAGTGGAGGGCTACGTGGTGGTTCTTCAGCCTGATGCCCCCCAGATCCTGCTAAGTGGCACTGCTCATTTTGCCCGCCCAGCTGTGGATTTTGAGGGACCTGAGGGGATCCCTTTGTTCCCGGATCTTCAAATCACTTGCTCCATTTCTCACCAGGTGGAAGTCAAAAAGGATGAGAGTTGGCAGGGCACAGGTAAGGATGACTCCAGGGAGTGATGTCATCCTGAGAAACGGCCCATGTCTGGAACCAGAGGGAGGGAGAAAATCTGGGGCTAGAAATGCGAGTGACTTCATCCTGCATTTGCTTGCCTAGAACCATTTACATGAGGACATAGAGCCAGGAGGAGGCCTGTGGATGTGAGGAAAGTATGGGGTAATGGCGTTTTTGAAAATGATGATGCTGACTGCTCTCAGGGGCTGAGCCTGGAAGGGGAGGACGAATGGCCACGAGGTGGGTCCTTTGGCTGTGACCCGTATGCTGACTCTCTCCCATCCAGTCACAGACACACGCATGTCAGATGAGATCGTGCATAACCTGGATGGCTGTGAGATTTCCCTGGTGGGGGATGACCTAGACCCCGAGCGGGAAACCCTGCTCCTGGACATGGCATCCTTGCAGCAGCGAGGGCTGGAGCTCACCAACACGTCCGCCTACCTCACCATTGCCGGTCAGTGGGGACTGAGAGCCTGTCTTCTTTCTCTGTGTGCGCCCCTCCCCACGATCAAGTCTCTGGGAATTCCAGAGGGTCCTCCTTCCAGGCCTAGGGACGTGACCAAGTGCCATCTTGCACCTTGCCAGCCTGGGGAAGCTCCTCTGGCTTCCAGATTGCCCCCAGAAGGGCTGTGCTGGCATTTGGGCTCCCAAGTGGTTCTTTCTCCCTGCTTCTCTCTACACCCTGGCTCCCCTCTATTCCTGGTTTCACTCCCCCTGTGGCTCAGTCTTCCCTGATGAGCTTTCAGTCCTCCAGCTGTTTGGTCCTAGCTATCTTCTCTATGTCTTCCACCTCTCCGATCTCTTGTACACATCAGAGCTTTAACTCATGTGCCCATATCTTAATGAATAGTGGTAATGACTTGGTAGCTTCGAAGGAAGCCTGCTGTTCTCTGAAGGACCCTCCATAAGGGAGGAGAAGATCATCATAACTGGTTCCCTCCTATTTCCATTCCCTTCCAGAGCCTCACCGAGGACTTCTGTATTTTCCACTCTCTCTGTTTCCCTCCTGCTTGCCTCCTCCCTTTGTCTTGCAGGGTGTCCTTATTGCCTTCTCTTCAGCCACAGAGTTTTTAGAGAAGAGCAGAGCAGGAAATGGATCCCAGTCACTCTATCCCAGTCAGTCAAAGCCAGGCTGGGGGTGGAGGGGTACATCTCTCAGGAGAACTCAGGTCATCCCCCTGCTGAGGAGGTGGGACTGGTCCATGCTGGGGCTGTGTGTGCCATCAGCTGGTCTGAGAGAGAGGGTCCTGCCCTGAGCTGCTTCCTCCTCCCGCAGGGGTGGAGAGCATCACTGTGTACGAAGAGATCCTGAGGCAGGCTCATTATCGGCTAAGACACGGAGCTGCCCTCTATGCCAGGAAATTCCGGCTGTCCTGCTCAGAAATGAATGGTCGTTACTCCAGCAATGAATTCATCGTGGAGGTATTCAGAGAGTCTCCTTCCCTCCCCAGCTCCCCCACAGGAGCAGACTGAGACCCCATAGTTGGTGGGAGTGGGCATCAAAGCACGGAGGAGCCACCTGGTGGTGGCAGAGGAGATGCTGTGGGGCAGGGTTAGCAGATGGGCTCTAACGAAGTGGAGTGGGACCTGCAGAGAAGCGGGTGCCCACTGAGCTCTCCCTCCCCAGGTCAGTGTCCTGCATAGCATGAACCGGGTGGCCCACCCCAGCCACATGCTCAGCTCCCAGCAGTTCCTGCACCGTGGTCACCAGCCCCCTCCTGAGATGGCCGGACACAGCCTGGCCAGCTCCCACCGAAACTCTAGTACGTAAGACCGTGCGGGGCCAGGCAGGGCGGGGCGGTGGCGGGGAGCAGGCTGGGCACAGGCCTCTTCTCCTCCATCATTGAGAGGGGAGGAGGCTAGTGGAGCTATGGTTCTGTTCCCTGTGCTACCTGACTTAAGTGACCACTCTGTGCCAATCCCTGTAACCCCCTGGACCATTAACTTTCCCTCAGGGAGAATATGAGCCTGTGTCATTCATTGCCAGGGACGCTCATGCCCGGCATCATAAAGTTGGTATGGGGTTTAGGTGCCTTTGTTGTTCCTGCTGCCCGCCCCCAGCAATATCAAATTAGCCCTGGACCTAGGGGTCCTCTGTAGTGAAGCCATCAAGTATTTATGAAGCACCTACTGTGTACTAGTACTGTCCTAAAGTGCTATTAGGAACATAAAAGAATTATATGATAAATACAGTTTCTATCCTCAAGGAGAAAGTTGGGGCTATTACATGTATTATTATGTGCTATCTATAAAGTCGTAAGTCTTTCTAGAACAAAGTGTGCAACTAGGCAAAGTACTAAATCTAGATGGACAGCTGCCCTTCTGAGCAATCTTATTCCCTGGCCGCGGTCCTTTACCAGTGATGCAAAGTTTAATTCCCAATTTAAGAGTTGCTTAATTGTAGACAAACTAGAAACTACAAGTATAAAGAAGAAAAATCAGCCATTACGGAGAAGAAGCCATTGTTAATGTTCCAGTTTTTTTCTGTGCCTATTTTTTTTTTTTTTTTACAAAGTTGGGATCAAACTATTTTATAACCTGGTATTTACACCTAATATTATAAAATGATTTTCTTCCACATTATTAAAAGCTGCAACATGATTCTGACAATGCTGAAAATGATTTTTGGAATCCCTTTTAGAATTGCTTTCGAAGTCAATTTATGTGATGCATTTATTTTTATTACTTTTTAGATACACCTTGCTGTTGACCCATTTCAGTATTACCCAGTTTCATCAGCCACTTTTGTCAGACTTGGCTCTGGATATCATTTGAAGTTTTTAAACATACAACCTACTCTCAGAGGGCCCAGATTTGTCACTTTGGAAGAAAGTCAAAAGGTGTATCACGGGCTCTGAAGGCAATTCCCTAAGGAATTCTGAAAATGCTTCCTTGGAAGAAGTCCATGGCCACCAAACATGACATTGAAAGTTACAGAGCTCATATCAATACATTTAATAGTGAACACATAGATGTGTACCAGGCACCATGCTCGTGGGCTTTTACACATACTAACTCATTTAGTCCTTAAAAACAACAAACGAAATAGGTACTAGAATTATGCCCTTTAAAAAAGGCAAGGGAATGGAAGCCCAGAGAGGTTAAGCACTTTATCCAAGATCACACAGCTAGAAAGTGATAAGGGCCAGGATTCAGATCTAGGCAGCAGGATTCCAGAGCCTGTGCACTAACCATTGACTTCCATACCTTCTCCAGTTATGTTTGATGCTTGCTTTTTCTTTTCTTTTCTATTCGTTTCTTTTCTTTTTTCTTTTCCTTTCTTCCCTTCCCTTTTCTTTCTTCTTTTTTTCTTTCTTTCTTTCTTCTTTTTTCTTCCTTCCTTCCTTCCTTCCTTCCTTCCTTCCTTCCTTCCTTCCTCTTTCCTTCAATCCTTCCTTCCTTCCTTCCTTCTTCTTTTTTTCTTTCTTTCTCTCATTACTTTATAGTTGCATATAATTTGGGGGAGCTCCTGAGGGTTTCCTAGGGCTTTTTTGACTGAGGCGAGCTCCCTGGTACCCCCAGGGATTCCATCTGGTTTCCTCTCCTTAAGTGGTGGCCACCACTAGAGTCTCCTGTGTTCCCTTTCCCTGGGACTGGCTCCCTTCTTCCTTGCTCTCTCCGAAAACACCTGCAGGGGCCTCTCTAAGTGTTTTTACTCACTATAACAAAACAGCTGGAGGTAGGGGTGGAGGGAGTAGGGAAGTAGGGTGAAGAGGGAGCATAATGCATAACCAAGTTGCAAGTGTTCATAGAAACTTCACACAATCTTTAGAGACCTGTGAGCAAGCTAAACCCATTTTTGTTAAAAAGACCCTTGGGGCCAGCTGCCCCACCCCCACCCCCTTATGATTCCCTAGCTCTTTGTCCAGTTCTTTCCTTGGGAATCATCCTACTCAACCTCATCTGGGTTGGATACTGGGTCCTGCTACTCAGGTTAGGCTCAAAGTAGATCTGGACTGGCATTGCTCCTGGGCCTGGTGAGATTCTCAATCTTTGTTTTCTGTGGGGAGGGAATCCCTGTTGTAACTATCCCAGAGCTTTGTGCCCTGAGCAGCCAGTTGCCCCACAGTGGCTGGCCTGGTAGGCCATGTTTCTCACCCCTCATCCCCTGAAGCTGCCTGGGGGTGCTCCAGGGTGTGTGAGGGTTGCCCTTGCTTCACCTCCTCAGAGTGAAACCCAGCCTCCCCATCCACTGTTCTGAGCTGATGTCTAGGCCAGCCAAACTTGCCTCTGAGATTTCAATTGAGAGAGGCAGCTTGCATTTGCTTTTCCCCTTATTTTGGCTTGAGTAGGAGGCGGAGTCATAGCTCACCTAAAACCATTGGTGATGGATGTCTCCTGAGCGTACCAGGAGATCCACTTCATAAAACCCGTTCCATATGCCATCTCTGACTCTTCACAGTGTTCCTTCCCCTCACCTCCTGACTGTCCAGGAACCCTCCCAACTGCAAGTGTGGTGTTACGGAGTCATGGCTTTGCAATTTCAAATTGCTCCAGCCAGGGGGAAACCGAAGGAGGCATAGTCCCCTCCAGTGGGATGGGGGTTCATTTCTCTGAAACTCCTAAGAGTGCCAGAAAAGAGAGATCGTGTGAATTGGGACAGTCAGAGAAGGTTTTGGGGCGCAGGTAGAGTTTGAGCTTGGACCTTGAAGGATAGAAGGGATTTTGGCTGGGCAGGAGAGAGAATGAGAATTTGAGAATGGAGGGTGGGCAGCTGGTTTGGGGTGTTTGGCGTTAGGGAGTATGAGGTTGTCTCAGAAGGGCGAGGCAAGACGATGAAGACCATATTTATCTAGTCATCCCGAATTCTGATACACGTCGGATTGGCTGGGGAGCTGTAAAAACGCTTGGTGCCTAGGTTACTTTACGCCCCATACTAGTTAAATCAGAATGGAGGTGGAAGCCAGGCATTGGTGGTTTTTAAAGATCCCCAAGTGATTCCAATGTGCAGCAAAGTTTGGGAACTGTTTCCCTACTTTGTTTCTTACAAGTTTCTGAAGCTTTGCAGGAAGACCTACAATGAAATAGGGTAAGCATAGGGGCGCCTGGATGGCTCAGTCGGTTAAGTGTCCGACTCTTGATCTCAGCTCAGGTCTTGATCTCAGGGTCGTGAGTTCAAACCCCATGTTGGGCTCCATGCTGGACGTGGAGCCTACATTAAAAAAAAAAAAAGGAAAATGAACTAAGGAGTGGGAAGGAAAGGACAATTCTTTTTTTTTTTTAAAGATTTTATTTATTTATTTGAGAGAGAG